ATAATTAGCAGATTCTATTTGAAGAGTAGCCAGAGTAATAACCATGCACTTAAGCACTAAGAACAAACTGATACCCGAATGATGCGTTCATCTGCTTAAATCGAAGATTGCGTCTAAGACGGCTTAACCGACAAGTGGGTTCTTTACCTAAGTCATACAGATTTTGAGCGCCCCTTCCAAAAAAATTCAATATCAAAATTTCAAATCTAAAACCCTCAATCGAGTTATAGCTTATGTGCAAACTTGCAATTATTTTGAAAAAATAAGTTAAATGAGATAACTTTAACAAAAAAAAAAAAAAAAAATCTTTTTGTTGAGGACTTGAAAATTGATGATAAAAAAAAGAGAGGAAGATAGTGTACACTCGGTGTTATTAATCAGTGAGTTTAGTCTTAACTTATTTTGGTCTAAATTTTTATATGTATCGTAGGCCTAATCATTCATCAATATTGTCTATGGAATACGTTTATATAGCTAGTGCTTCAGAGTAGATAAGCTTTTGAATTGTCATTTGAATCTCAATAGTAGTGATAGTTTAGGTGAAATGATAAGATTCCCTCGCGTAAGTTCTTATTTTAATAGCTTTTCAGTGTAAGAAAAAATCTAACTATTTAAAGATCCTTGAATTTGATTATTTTCTCATTTTTATCTTACACAAATAAAAATATGTTATGATTTTAGATTGAATGTGGTTTATGAACATTTTTTTAATCTATCAAATTGATAGTAATTTTATTGAAAGTGATATTTTTTTTCTTTTTTAATAAATGATTTACGATTTACATACATCAGATACATTAAAAAATGTAATTAAATTTGTTATCAAATCCTTTATGAAATTACTAGAATAGAAAATTTTACAAAATGTGTATATCATTTATTTATCGGTTCAGAATACAAAAGATTGCCTATATTTATAAATCAAACGAGCACCTTTGAACCAAATTTAAAGCAATTGTCTTAAATACGACAATTTCTATTTTCATTCCACTTTTTTCTAATTCAAAATTGTGATTTAATATTGTATGTTTGTTTTTCTTTTTTTAACAAATATTAAATTTAATGGAGAGTGTCTTCACCGGCCTCTTCTAGCTTGGATTTTTTAAATGTGTTTTTACTTTTTAGTTAAAAAACTTTAGTATCATCATAATTATTATAAATCAATAATTATTTGGCGTCCACAATGACAACGACGCGAGATTTATCCGTTGAAAAAACGTTGCAGGCGCGCTCTTACAAGGAGGTGTTGATGATGTGCTTATTTTTATTGTGGGAGTTTCATAGAAAGAAGCGAATGAAGGATAAAATTTCGAGATAAAAAATTGATTTAAAATTAATTTTACTTGGCCACTCAGGTATTTCAAATTTCTTAAATCAGTGACTCACTCAGAGATTTTCCACAGTCAACTCGTAGACCAGTCTCGACTTTAAAATTAATACTTCAAGTAGATTACAATAAAGTTGAATAGAGCGTGAACTTCCCATAATGTTTGAAAACATCTAATTTTTCTTCCAGTAAAAATTCAATTAAGATGCCTCGCAACTAAAATTTCAACTAGAAATTCAAGTCTTTAAAGTTATAAATTTTACAGGCATATTTTCCTTTGGATATTATTGCACTGCGTCTATTGCCTCATTTGCGCTTGATTGATTTCGCTTGATATTTAAAAACTTTCTCTAGCATTAATTCAGCTTTGAAATAATTGATAATAGAAAACTATCATTGCAATCTTTTGTGATACACTATAGCTTGTAGCGCTTGTAGCCTGTTTTGAGTATAGTCCAATCTTCTTTTTTTTCTAATTTTCTATTCTTAGAGGTTTGTTTTAAATAAATTAAAAAATCAGAACTTTTTTTATCAATGCGTCGGAATATTTAGTTTATTCCAGGGCGATGGCCTGTTATGGGACCATCTAAAAAGCATGCTTTTTAGCATATGCGTTGGAAGGATCAGCTCTTCCACCTGCAGCTCCTGGATTGCCCCTAGGCTGGCCACCATTGCCACCCTGACCATTGTTGCCTGATTGACCAGTAGGGTAGGGAGTGGCTCCCTTGTGTGGGTTCCCAGTGGCTTGGCATTTTGGCTTGCCTTTTCCGTCCATGGCTGGTTATCATGAAATGAAATGATCAAAAAGTAATAAAAATTTCCTAGGCTTGAATATAATATTAAATTGCCCTTAGCAAGGATTTTTCATTATTTTATATAAGATAAATATTTCTTCAAGTGAAAAACTATTAAAAAATTTAATATTAAATAATCGTAAAAGTCAAAACTAACAAACTTAAACAATGCATGTGTGATAATTTTCTTAAGTATCAGTAAAGCGAAAGATTAAAAAATTTAATTGCTGCCTCTAACCTGGTTTCCAGATTTGAAGTGCTGGATGCAAATGTGATAAGCAGAGCTGCGAAGGAACAAGTGCGACTGATGAATCGGAACTGTGCGTAGAAAGATCCCACACTTTATTTTATACACGGAGAAAAAATGCCCATCGACGCACTTTTTATAAACAGTCCAAGTCAAGTCTTAGATTTACATAAGCAGAGCAAGAGGCGTGGCTTCATCACAACAAGGAAAACTTTGCAAGAAATTCGCAAGCAGTCTTATGTATGCGAGCGAGTAGGACCGTGGCTATTTATATTTGGAGCGTGTGACTCACTTTAGCGAGGACTGCTTATAAATTAGGCACTTTAGGCAGATGGGGACCAGTTTCGCAAATGCGACTTTTAGCGTTAGAATTCAAATTGAGGCTAACGGTTGGATATTATCCTATTTTCTCTATAGCAAATATCCAAATTCACATAATAAATATATCAATTAAGAACTTTCAGAGCAATAACTTTCACTCAAAAAGTTTAGAAACATATCACGTCATAACTGCCTTGAATTTTATCCCCTTGAAATGAATGCAAAATAATTTTAGAGGAGAACTGGTTTTAATTAAACTTGAATAATCGGACTTCAAAATTTTCAAGGGGCGTCTTATTTAAATAACAGCTTTTTAAATGGTTCATTTCTTTAAATACAAAGTAAGCAATTTTGCATGGCCAATCTGTTATTCATTACCTAGAAATTAAATTGTAAGGACACAAACAGTTTACGGAAATTCTTCTTGTTCCTGTAACATAATTCACTGAAGACATATTTTTTTTTACTAAATGGCATTGGAGACTGATTTTAAAATAATTAATTTTATTTAATTTTTTTGCAAAATTAAATAACATTGTGAATAGACGCTTTATTATTATTGTTTAAACCATAAGGTTGAATAAATAAATAAATTTTGCAAAAAATTATTTTAAACTTTATTTGCTACTTTAAAGCATTATTTCTTCTTTATATTTATTCAAGTTTAGGCGCTTTTTTTCAGTGGTTTGTCTTCTTAAAATTTTATGGTTTTTTTTATTTTCTCATAATAAAAGGAAAAGTTCATAGTCATAGGTTCCAAATTTGAAAATCAATAATAAAATTACCGCTATTTGAGATACTCAAAAGGGAGGGATCTGAATGATTCAGATGCAGCTAACGATCTGCGAGTTAGATTGCAAATTTGTGTAATTCATCTGAAATACATCAATTAAGCCGGGTCATGCGTATGTTTGTACGAGTCGGCGCGTAATGGGCTAATCACCAGGACAATTATTCACCCCGAGCGATCCCATTCACCGCGTCAGGGATAATTAACGACGTGCGACAAATTCAGCCAGAAGCTGCTCTCTGCAGAGCACGCCGAGGCCCCTATTTTCCGAACCCCTCACCTCAACCCCTTAATGCCGCTGCTTATCCTGCGGCTGCGAAATTTATCATACGGGATGAGCACACCGAGTAAGCCTGCAGGAAGCATCACTCACGACATTCCTCCCTGACCGCAGATCTGCTGCGTGTGCACCAAGCCCAAAACATTTCTCCGAGAGGACGACGACAAAAATGCGCGAGGCCGCGTCGCATTGTAATTTACGGCCGCTCGTCGATCATGAGCGTCTTTGGCCACGGAAAAACAGCCGGCCGATGGATTTACAGACGGCCCAAATTAATTTTCCGTCTGTTTGGACAGATGAAAAAGTTCCAATATGGTTGATTACTCGGATGTGTTCTTTGGCGGACGGAAAAAAATTGCACGCCGCAGAGATGACAGCTGCCCGGCTCACTCGGAGGGAGGCCACCAACGCTTGAGTACAAATAGAGAGCATAAGGAATAAAAGGAGAAGAAGAGAACATCACGGAAAATGACTTTTGGGATAACCTCTTCTTTTCCAACTTGCTGAAAATTGACATTGTTCATTTTTCTCATTGCGGTTTTTTTGTCAGCCAGAATAATGTAATTTGGAAGAGAATAACTTGCGGGATCACTTTTTTCTTACAAATTTAATATTTTAAATTTTTTCCCCCAGCTTTAATTAAATCCTTCAAAGATTGAAGTTCTTCTTCCTGGAAACTTTTATGAAAAATCTTGTAAAAAGCAATTTAAAGTCTCTCTTCGCTGCTCCCTGTTCGTTTCGCACAATTTTGGAACAGGACCTTTTAATATAGCACGCAGTGGCGCGTCTTTTTTCCACAACATACAAAAAAATAGGGTCCGGCACGAAAGTCAGGTTTCACAGGAGTAAAATGCATTTAGAGAGAGGGCACAGAGATAAGTCAATTTCGCTCTCCCGCCGTTGTCTTTTGAGTCAAAACGTCACAGGGGGATGCTTTTCTTCCTCTCATTTCGTTCCAGCAGGTACACACGCGCAAATCATTCGCCAAACCGAGCTCCTTTCTTTTTAAAAGGTATATGTATTTGAAATGAAAGACGACGCGAAAAAAGAGAGACCAAGAGGGCTCGATATAATTAAATGTATCGCAACGAAGTCTCAAGAGTCTTTCTTTTTTCTCTGAATGAAATTGCGGCTGATTGGATTGTCTGCTCATTGTCCGACATGAATAATGCATGACGCGGCCCGGGTGGAATTTTCTTTTTTGAGAGAGGTGAAGAGGAAAAATGGAAATTTGTACTCACCAACGTTCTGGATTTCGCACGGCAGGACCAGCGTGTCGCCGAGCACAGCCCGGTATGTTTGACCTCTGGAAATGAACCTGGGAGCTGGGCCCAGGTCCTCCAAGTCCATGTAACCCTGCGGGTGACCTGCAAGCACAGAGAGAAGAATTCATAAGCCTTTTGATCTATTATATTGTACGAAGGAAAAAATTCAATTCATCAAGCAAACCGAAAATTTTATTATCAAATTTCCAACAGAAGCATGGAATTTATGGACGGTGAGATTATAGCCCGTGTCGATAATAATTACAGGGTTGGCGCAAATTAAAAGTTTCATCTTTAGAGGCAAACGCCGCGCTGCCGACGAGAGAGATGAAGAGTTTAATTTTCGGCCGGAGCCCAGTGAAAAGCAGCAGCGTTACGTCATATTAACAGCAATAGGAGGAGTCTCCAAAATTTATGTGAAATACCTGCGAGGCCAATTTTAAATTAAATAGCGCTCAGTCAGGCAGATGGCTGCGTTAATGGCTTGAATGCCACTTCAAAGTGACATAAATGATTTTTTACTATGTATGGACATTTTTCAGATTTTCAACGTGTCAGAAGTTGCTTTCAAAAAGTTTAATTAATGCGATCTTTGAAAGAAGCTGATTTAAGAGGCGAAATTAATGTTCGTTTTCGTTTTAATTAATAATACCTTTCCTTGGCGGTCGTTAGTTTATTGCTTATTTACATCAAATTTGATGTCTCATTTATTTCACAGCTCTAAGTCCCATTCAAAATTAATTAAAACGTAAAGCTCGCCCACGGTCATTTACCATGAAGTCTAGAGGAAAACATAAGAATTTCCCAAAAACTCCAGCTGCTCAAACCCAATTTACGGGGACAGCGACTTTAAATTAAGCGACGTATCAAACCGAGACTCGTTCTCCAAAATCCCCGGCATGCATATTTATTTGTTTATAAGACGACGGATATTAAAATGCCTGCATCATTCCTCGCGGTGGTATAAGCTGTAATCTCCTTCCCGATCTGCTGGGATCAACAACTTTTGTTCCAAAATCCTGAGGCTTTTCGAAGGAAAACTCTGCAGACGACGAAATATTATTACAAAAAGAGGAGGGAAAACTAATTTTCTCTCAGCAGGCGCAAAAGCCACCTTGACTTTATCATATTCCATTTCGCTCTTTTGCCTCTTTTAATTTACCTTTTAGTCAGGCCCAACCGCCCCCTTATCCACCCTCCATCCAACCTTTCGTCAGAAGCTACCTGCCGTTTCTGCGAGAATTCCTGCTCCCTGGCGAGGACCGCCCCTTTTTGGATGCGAGCAATTCCATCCGCTGATTTGATTAACATAAATTAATAGCCTGCGCGAGCGGGAAACGAGCTGTAATGATTAGAAAATAAATTAAAAATAAGCGCCTGGAAAAAAAATAAAACACCGCAGCAGCAGCAGCGTGGAAATAATAATAAGAATGAATTTTTATAAATCATGTTCAGGATAAGAGGGGCAGGAAAGATAATTAAAATTTCTTAATGTCTTATATGAGAACGATGTGGAAGGAAAAATAATTAAAAATATAAACGCTGGTGTGCGCACAAAACCCTTTTCCTCAGTCTCTTTCACTTTTTAGTACATCTGCAGAGAGGAAAAGCGCAGAGAGAGAATGAAGAGCGAGCGGTCCCTGCATATAATAGAGATAAAAATCAACTCCGACCTCATAAAAATAAAAAAAGAAGACGCACATAATACACTGCTGTACACTCTGGGAATCGTAAAGTTTTACTGCACTATTCCGATACGCACACAATAGAAATTCGGTTTAATGTGATTTTACAGACTCGCTAGCTCAAGAATGAAGAAGCAGGTTCACATATATAAAATGCCAATTTTAATGAGCACCCATGAAAATTGAAACATTAATTTTTATAGAATTATCATATTGCTTTAATTTAATTGAATGACTTTGTTAACAAATATAACCCAATTACATTCAATTAAAAGAGTGCAAAGTTTCTTCAAGTTTCTTATCTTTGTGGCACTTTGCTGAGGCATTTTTAATCTGATTCAATATAAATAATTAATTTTTTTAAATTAGAATAGGCTATAAAATAAGTAATTGGCACATATTTAATATATATTAAATAAATTTAACAATTATTTAAATCCGCGCGCCTTCTTAAAAAAATAAATTTTTATACTGATCACCAATTAAAATTAAATAATATATGGCTTAAAATAAACACATCTGTTATTTGTTTTTTTTTTTTTTTGCTTTTTCTTCGTGTATATCCTGTGCTTCAGAAGCATTTCGATGACTATTTTGATACCCTTACACATAATTATGTGGAAGCGCAGGAGTGGCATTCCCTGTTCGTCAGCAGTTGTTGATGGCCAAGCCGCAGAGCGGAGACCAAGTGACCAATTAACCGTCCAAAACATAATCCAGCTGTGTAATAGTATGTGCGCCTATATAGGTGCACGCCGAGGCATTCGAAGCATTTTAACAAAGGCACCCGAGCCGGGGTCATTTATTAAAAAAGCAACCGCGCGCATTTCCTATTCAAGAATTTTATCGTCCGGCGACGCAGAGGCGGTTATTTATTATTTTATATATAAAATAAGGCTTGATTCTGCCAAAGTCTTTTTGTGTGGACCTCGGGCGCGACAATGGTTAATTTACAAACTCGGAGAGGAGTTGTTTCAAAGCGGCCTTTTCAGCGAGTTTTTGCCAGTCAGGAAACATACCAATTAGCCGCCGCCGCTTTGATAATGGGTCGCAGATATATAAAAGCAAAAACCGCTCTCGGTGGCAGATTTCGGTAATGAATGCGCGGATATAAAGTTCGCTGCCGGCCGCATATTTATCATTCATTGGTCGCCGTACGAGTTTCATTGTGGGAGAGTGAAGTGGGCCTGCCGGGGGATTTTTCCAAGAGTGTTTTCCTTGTCATTCACGACGATTGACATATTCTAGACCGCCCCTAAATAAATAATACGCGCGCTGCAAATTGAATATCAACCATGATGCAGCAGGGGACGCACGCCGGACAAAATAATCAAAAGTTTTTCTATGGAACATTTAACAAAGACGAGCTATAGAGGAGACCTTCGTGCAGAAGTGGATTTGGCTTAAGCATCAGTTCTTGGAAAATTTATTGGACCCTTGACTACTTTTCTTCGAATTTCGTTATAAAAATATAAAACATTATACAAGAAAAATTAAAAGTAATGAATTTTTAAAATATGGAAGTTGTTAAAAGTTGAAATTCATTAGATATTTTCATTTTAATAATTTTTGCAAAAATTTTAGGGGGAAATTTAAAAAAAAAAATCAATCAACAAATTGAAGTAACCTTACTAAATTTAACTATTTATAACGACAAAAATAATGCACCATAAATATTTTTTTCCTAAAAAAAACTTTACCTGGGGGATAGTGTAATTAATTAGTCTAGCCTGTTAATTTCATACTTTATATACTTTACATCTACAACAGCTTAGTCAATTTTAAGTCTCTTAAATTAACAATAGCAGTTTCAAAATCAAATGTACATTCTTGCACTTAAGCAATTAAAAATTAAAAAATTCTTAAAAAATGACTAAATTTTTCAGTGTCTTACTTACAATAAGAGTAAAATTGACAGTTTTCTTTTAAGAACTTTGTATTCTTCAAGGTTATATTGTGCTCAAACCCCTGTGAAAAAATCAAATTTTTTCCAAATTAAACGCATAACTAAACCTTGAGCATGAGCTTTTATTGTTCTACCAATAAATTTCAAAGATTTTATTGACCATTAGAGAGCCAATTTTGCGACTCGTTTTATTACTTTCGTGTGCGCACACGGCGGTCCCCCTCAATTTGTGGGTGTTCAAATGAGTCATTCTATTGCTCCAGCTGGTCCAGAATGGACTCTCACAAAACCCAAGCCATTTTCATTCACGGGCGACAGAATGAACTGCTCCTTACTTCGAGTGCGACCACAGCTGACAAAACTTTTGCAGCTCAGATCAAAAGGCTTGAAATTCGGCTGGGCGAGAGTTCTGCCAGCAGTTGGGGTTTGACAGACGGAAAGGGAAGCGATCCAAATAATTTTTTCTTCGTCTCCTCCTTCACTTATAATACTTTGAAGCGTGAATGAAAAAGCAGTCGGAGGCTGGTTAGGACGTTTCGTAATCGAGTCGTCGTTGGTGCGCGCAGGCTGAAATAATAAAACCGACGGAGTGAGCAGAGCAAAGCACTGTCGGATTAACATTTCTTGCTTTCATATTTCTGCTGGGGCAAGAGCGGGCAGGCACTGCTTCTCTTTTATTTCTTTTTTATGAACTCGTAAAGGATGCGAGGATCCTAATTTGTAGTGTCGTCGCCCCTAACTTGTCTTCTCTGCACACCGAAATCCTCCCTTGAGCCAGAGACGAGCGGCAGACTGCGAGAAACTTTTTGAAAACAGATGTGAAAAAGCGCAAGAGCTTCTCGTTCGCCGTCAAATTTCATACTGCCAATAATATGGCCCAGATTTAAATCCAGCTCAGCCGTTATTTTTTTAATATTTAACTTCAAGAAAAAATTTATTTAAAGATAATAATTTTGAATTTAAAATAAAATAAATGTTAAATGATTTTCATTGCTTCAAATTTATTTAAAAAAAAAAAATATTTATTTTCATTAGTGGCATGTAAAGAAACATGAGTTTATCATTAATTAATTGATCCCTATGAAATAGAAAAGCAAAAAGTACCTTGATTTCAATTCTGAATTTCTTGTCCGCAAAAAAATTTGATTTATTCTAAAAATTCTACTCTAGGAAAAATGTGAATTTACAGTTTCTAAGTGGTCAAATGTCAGGCATGTGGTCGCGGTGTTCAAGGTTTTAATTTATCTGTCCAAGTGATAAATGCAGATCTTTTTTCCATCGAGAGCAGCGCCGTCGCTAAAGCAATGCTGACGTATTTATTTTTATTTTAACAAGCGCGCCGCGCTCCAACCAGCAGATTAAGCGGCAAAGATTGATATTCCACACATCGAACGAGCCCAGCGGCGTTTAAAAAAAGTGGACCGTGCAGAAGAAGAACAATTTATATTTTGGTTGCGCGCGCCATTAACGTGATTAATTATTCTGGGCAGACCCGAAACGATTCAATCAGA